GCCAGCTTGCCCCGTTCCTCCAGCCTTCCTAAGGTCATCCGTCCATTAGTCCGTGAAATAATAACTCGACTAAAAATAAATAAATAAATAAAGAAAGTATAATTAGCCCGTGTAAGGCAAACATCAATTAGCATCGATCTTTCTGATTATGTGTAGGGAAACTTCAAAGTCTTAAGTTCGTAAGTCGAACCTACTAGTTCACGTGATATTCGGTTGAAGCAAACGTATAGAATTGACAGAATGCAAACCGTTATTCTTATGGACGCTGTCGGATGGTACGAACCACAGACTGTATAGTGTCGGTTCCAGGAAAGGACTAACCGCTCGAAAAGGAAACTACAAAGAGGGAGTGAAAAGGTATAAGGAAAAGAAAAGAAAAGAAAAAATGAAAATCCCTTTAAAAGAGAAGCTGCCCGTACAATGGAACCGCGAGGCGCCGCTACTTTGAGGAAAGTTGGTGTTAAGCGAGCGACAATTAGAAACCACAAAAGGGCGTGTCTCAACGAACCGCGACTCGATCTTTCACTTCTATGTCGTGACGAAGCGACGAGTGCGATTTCGCTCACGCAATTCCCTCGTTAGTCCCACCGAGAATAGTCCCATGCGATTTTTTGATGTTGGTATTACTATTTTTTTTTGCTTCCCTCCACCAAACTTGCAGCAACTGGGAGCAGATATAAGAATATATGAAATGCATATAAACATGGACAGACGTGAGATAAGTAAGTCACCAACGATTCGCGATATAGAAACTATCTTTAATCGTCTAGACGAGATTACGAGAAAGCTGAGTTCGCTGGGCGTTGACATTACATATGCACGCAACGGAGAGAGAGAGAGAGATTCTTTCTAGATAAATCCTCGGTATCTTTGGGTTGTTCAGCTTACGAAGGGATAGGTAGGAGGATACGTGGTTATGTATGCTTAGGAATTTTTAGGCGTCAGATAACATTGCAACGCGTAATACGACGCCGGCACGTCCACGTCGGCGCATCCGTTTACGGAAGGTCCACGTGGAGAGTCAAGATGAGCGATTCGGTTCAAGGATACTTTCCTAGAATTGCATTTTGCATTAAATCATAAAAGAGCAAGTATGCTGGTTAGACGCAGCTGATAAAACTCTTATCGTCAGCACAACGGTCCGTTCCCTAACCGTCTGCAACAGTGTGAATTGTTCACACATTTCAGTACCATTCAGTACCAACACCGTCTGCTACGTCACAGGACGTCATGCGAGCAGGATGATTTCCATATCGAAGAGCTCGTCGTCATCGTTCAGTACCGTCTGTTCAGTGAAAATGTCGTAGAGGAACTTCCGGCTTTAGATACCGATACGAACGATAAGACACCGGTACGGAAACTGCAATAGGACGGTTGTAGTTGGATCTATGAAAAAAGAAAAGGTTTACGATACTCAAATCGCAATGATATACGTGAATCGGCCTTAAGCCGTTAAAGAATTTCTTGCAAAAGAAAAAGAGGAAGCGTTCGTGTGAACCAATAGTGAAAGAGAAAACTTTTGGCTGTTACGTTCCTGCGTGCACGTAGGCACAGTGTAAGGTACCGTTCACGATTGGAAAAAGTGTCTGGAGAACCAATGCGGGTCACGTATAGAGTTCCCGGAACCGTGGGATATCTCTTTTTTTTCAGGCCCTGATATTTTTCGGGTCTTTTCGAGTTTTTCCTCAATCGCATCCGAGTGTTCTGAAAGAGCAACGAGATAAAAGGCGAAAACCGATCGGTCATAGTTAGGACAGTACCTTTTCCATGAATGGACAAGCTGATAGGTAAACAAGTAAGTTAGCATAGAAGCCAAGCAGGTATACAGGAACAGTTCGAAATCCTAAATCATCTAGCGCACCAAGAGGTATTGGATGGATGCTAAGTAGGTAGATGGATCGTATAAGGCTACGAGGTTTCAGATCCTGGACCCTTGCCGAAGGTTTCTTAGGGTCCGAAACCTCCAATGGTTCCATGACTTACAAAGAGAGGGAAGATCGTTAGCGACTTGTTTTCCGGGACGAAACTGTCTGTGAAACAGGAAAACTTGAGGCTCATACAGGTGGTGGTGGTCCTCTCGAGAAATTTCTTTAGGGTTTGCGAACTTCTCTCTTTCTTTCTCCTAGTCCGTTTATCTTCGTGGGTTCTGCTACTCTCCTTCAGTATCCCGCGGAGGAGACAGAGACGGAAAGACATACTGTAAGAGAGTCTGCTTGAGTTCAGAGGGAGACCCCGTTAATGGGTGGGCGCTCAGAAATTCCAGGGCTTTGTTTGGTCTAGGCTAGCCGACGGATAAGAAACGACTCGACGCCAAGCGTCGATGGAATGCGTCCCTCAGACACACAGGGTCCATTCGTACCGACTGAAACCCACTGGCACCCTTCGCTCTGCGCTATTCACAGTGAAAAGAGTCTCGAGAGGTGGGTCCGTCTAAACATTCCCGGAAGGGCCTGGACCATTTTTTTTTTGATGCTGGATACACCCAGATATGTCAAACAGTATAGTTCTCACAGTTAAGAGAACTGTTAAAGAGAATCCGCTATTCATATAAACACTACAGATAATACAGACTCGGACTTTCTTCTTGAAATTCTAACCAATTGAAAGGTTCATTGACTAAAGAGATTCATGAGAATGAATTTAAATTCCTCATGGAACTTGTTCTATTTATCTATCCACTATCTGTGTATTCGTATGTTCAGCTTGTGCAAGCGATGCTGGAAAAACGTACATTTGTCAAGGAAACGTCCAACGCTTAATTTTCGATAATTGCTAGCACGGTCACGGACTCTCACGCTCCGCTTCGAATTACTACGAGTTACCCATACCTTTGGTTCCCCCCCTTTTTTCCTCTTTCCTTTTTTATTTCCCACCTTTTCCCGACTCTCCCTTATCCAACGTAACCCAGCTACTCCCTTACAACTCCGTGGCACTGTTCCCGTCCAAGAACCGTGCACCTCGTTTACAGCGTTTACCGTACGTACGGCGCGGGATATAAATGCTCACTGAAAATTTATGGTCGGTTTATGCCACCAGCCTAGCATACTAGCCACCCTACTTCCCGCCCTACATTCCCTTTACCTCTTCCTCCGCACCTACTCCCATCGCTCGGTCTTCGGGAAATATTGTTTCTTCCAGGAGAGTCTTTTGAAAAATGAGCTAGACTCGTTCTCAATGCGCGACACGTAATCTTGTGAAGAACGACTCATTCTGTCTCACTCTTTCTTATACGCACATGCACATACACTCTCCAGGCACCGAACGCCACGCTCAATTACCTACCTCTCACTAATTATTATCGACTGGCAAGGACTAAGGGGATGAGGCTACCTTAGCTTCTCCCTCTCTTTCTTTCTCTGAGAGAGAGAGAGAGAGAGAGAGAGAGAGAGAGCGTGTATCAAAGACTTTGTTAACATAAGGGGTGAGCAATGCATACTTAAAGGATAACTCACAATTGACCATGTGCTTATTAATATCCAATCCACTCGTTATTCATTGTCATTACAATTAATAAATCGGTGCTACTCGGCAGTTACCAAAACATTAAAAGGAAATTCTTAAAACCATCGTTTCTCTAGACAGTGCGTAAATAACTATTTGAGGTGAGCCATAAACATAGTTACCGAAGCTTCCGAGGTGAGTAACAGCCACCTGTGCTGCCACCTTTGTCTAAAGAGTATGTCGTAAATGTTTATTATGGGTACCTGTCGAATGTCTAAAATATCATAAAGGAAGCGAAAACGAATGGAAGCACCGTACGATTTAATAGGATGCCATTGAAGTACGTGCATCAACGGTTCTACGGCCGCTTAAATCCATGACAGCGACCCAGGTACTGCGCTGGTGTATACAATCCTTTATACCGAAAGAATGCGCATTATGACTGCGAGGCTTGTTTACACATTCCCGGCCGTTCAGACTATGAGCGTTTCATGCGACAAGTTTTCATTTACCGTTTTCTTTCCTCAAATGCCTTTGATGCGTGCCCAATGTAGCACTCTACTACCCATAGACGCGTTACTACGCACTATGGCACATTAATACGCATAATCATGAAACAGCAATGGAGAAATTTATCGACTCACCGACTGACTGACTAAGTGACTAACGGACCACCCGCTTGTCTGCCTTGCCATGGCTCATCGTTACCTAACAATGATTCATCCAATGAAATAAATAGATTTGGATGGACGGTCATAAATAAATCCAGAAATATATATATATACACTTATGAGATAAACGAGAGGACAAAGCCCACATTTTTCTACTCGCTGTTAAATTGTCTGAGCCAATAAAAGATGGCTGAAAAATTGAATAAACAAATGTCCTCGAGTTATCCCAGT